TTTCTCCATTGATTTCTAGAGAGACTGGAAGGGGAGGGAGGACGGGGGAGAGAGAGAAACATCGATGTGAGAGAGACTAATTGATTGCCTCCTGCATGTGCCTGGACTGGGGCAGGGAACCTGCAACTGAGGTATGTGCCCTTGACTGGGAATCAAACCCGTGACCCTAGGGCTGATGCTCTAACCACTGAGCCAAACCAGCCAGGGCCACATGCTTCTGCTGGGCTCCCCCATCACAGCACAGTTAACTTCTGGCGGTTGTGGTCTCCACTCAGCTCTGTCCCGTTCCCCAGATTGTGAGCAGAGTGGGGATGCTTACTGCCTGATGACTAAGTATCATTTCAAAGAATGGAGACTGAGAAAGGGCAGGAACCTGCCCAGGGTGGCAGAGGAGAAGAGCTCAACCAGCAATTAGTAAGAACCCTAATAACAGCTAACACAAGGGCTCTTCCTGTCTGCCCGGCACAACCCAAGGGCTTCACAAGTACTGAGTCATCTCATCTTCACAACCCTTTGAGGTAGGTACTAATATTATCCACATTTCTACAGATGAGAAAACTGAGGCACAGAGAGCTTAAGTAACTTGCTCCAGGATGCACGGTTTCTAAATGGCGAAATCTGAGATATGAATTAACAAGTTCCTAACACTTCCCTGCGTGAGACCCTCATTTTGTGGAAGAAGAAACTGGGATGCAGGTCTTGTCAGCGGATGGCAGGGCAGAGACCAGAACCCAGGCCTGAGTTGCCTGTGTTGAGTGTGGGATAGGCAGTGGCCCAAGGGGTCCCACCCCTCTCAGTCCAGCCAGCTCTGCCCATAACTCAAGTCCAAGCCCCTCTTGCCTTTACCCCTCTTAGTTTCCTCATCTGTAAAACTGGGATAGTATTGTTGCCTCCCTCAGAGAACTGTTGAGAGCATTAAATCAGCCTGAAATCAGGGAAGTGTTTTGAATGGTGCCTGCCACACATCAGGCACTCAAGCTTTGTTGTTCTTAATATTTTCCCTCTTCTCATCATCCTGCTCCCCAGCCTGCCCCTCTTCCAGATCCAGTGCTTACCCCAGGGAAGTGCTGAGCAGGGCTGGCATGGGTGGAGAGGGACAGCCAGGCCCTTGTTGCTTGGCAGCTGCCTCTGGGGATCAGAAGTCAGGCCTACCTCCCTTGCCATAGAGCTGGTGGGGTTGGGGCCTGGCTCACCTACCCCTAACTAAGTTCCTGGGACCTGGGGCCTGCCCAGCTCTTAGCCTAGGGTAGCCTATCCTCAGCCTAGAAGGAAAGGTTCAGCCTTGAGGTCATTGTCCAGATGAGAAAAGGAGGCCTGGGAGGTGAGTTGGGGACAAGTCCATTGTCCCCCCGGAGTGGAGGCAGGGCACAGCTGTGTTTATACAGTTCCCTGCTCAGGGGAGGCCCTTCCCCCATCTTGGAAAAGCCCAAATCCAATCTCAGGACCTTCCCAATTGTCACCTCCTGAGGAAGAGCCTCTACTCTCTGCTGGCTGTCCCTCTATTTGGCTGATGGAACTGCTAAAAGAATCCCGTGCTGCCACATAGAGCCGTTTGTGTCGGATCCTGAGGGACGTGTAGGAGCTCCCCAGGAGCTGGGGGCTGAGGGCCTTCCTATTTCTTTTCATCTTGACCACACAGCCAGGGCAAAAAGCATGTCGAGGGAGGATGTTCTAGCACACTGGAGAACAAAGTGGTGTCCCGAGAAACTGGTAAACATTGGGCCAACGGCCTAGATGGGGAAACTGAGGTTGAGGGGCCAGGGAGTTGCAGCAGTCAGAACTCTCCTGGCTTTCGGGATAGGGATACCTCATTACCTGAATAGGCACGTCGCTCGCTCGTTGGAGGAGGGAAAAGGCACCTTCCAGGCTTTGGAGCCCGCGACGACCCCTGCCCAAGCTCGCCTCCAGCAGTCCGCCGGCACCTTGGCTCGCGGACTACAAGTCCCGGCAGGCCCCGCGCCGGGCGCGCAGTCGGCAGGCGTCTCTTCGCCAGCAGCCTGGCGGCGCGTTCCGGCGCGGCTCCCATTGTCTGGCCGGCAGGGGCGGGGCTGGCGGAGCACAGGCGTGCCCATT